AAAGAGAAAGAGAAGAAAGGAAAAGCGGCAGAGTGGAGCAGTCATTACCTTGGCCCGTTTCTTGCACAGTAGTACCACAATGCTCAGGTACCCTGCTGCTGCGGCATATCCTAGAGGAGTCAGGCCACTTTCAGAAGAGGCATCCACGTTGGCTCCAAACTCTAACAGCAGGGCCACCATTTCTGTGTAACCAAGATGAGACTGGACGCATAGAATTGGAGCATTATTTAAAACCTCTGTCCGGTAATTAATATTGGCACCTCCCAAAATGAGCAATCGGCTGACCTAGAAATAAATACATGTATAGAAATAATAATCAAACATCAGTCACATCCTTTTAGTCATCTTTTTTTTTTTTTTCATATCATCTGAGACCCTACCATAGTGACCAGTAACCTTTAGTCACTGCTCTATTTTATAATTTTTACTGGTTCCTTTTCGCGCCATATCTTTTTCACTCCCCCTTAATAGATTTAGGGGGTCCAAGTGGTTTTGTTTTTTTGTTGCTGTTACATGGATGAATTGTATAATGCTGGAGTCAGGGCTTTTAGTGTACCTGTCACCAGAATAGCGTACACCGTACCCGATAGTTACCCCTCCTTCCATCTCTCCCTTTTTAGTTTCCAACATCCATACTACCATTTTGTCCATTATACCACTTTATGACAACATACACCCACTGCTTAGCTCCCACTTATAAGTGAGGATATTAGTTATTTGTTTTTCCATTCTTAAGATACTTCACTCAGGATAATGGTCTCTGGTTCCATCTAAGTTGCTACAAAAGACAATATTTCACTTTGTTTTGTGTCTGAGTAGCACTCCATAGTGAGTATGTGCGTGCATGTGTACACTGCTGAACGTTGTCTCTACCAAGTGAACTCTTGGTCAGAAAAATTCATACCCAAAACAAAGGCTACCTGAGATCAGTTTGCTCTCTAGAATTAGCAGGACCTGATCCATAAGTCAAAGTCAGCGTAGAAAAGGTAGGACGACAACAGGGTTAGTCTTAATTCACAGAATGAAATATAACAATTTATTTTATTTATTTATTTTTTGAGACAGAGTCTTACTTTGTCGCCTTCAGTAGAGTGCTGTCGCATCACAGCTCACAGTAATCTCAAACTCTTGGGCTTAAGCAATTCTTTTGCCTCAGCCTCCCAAGTAGCTGGGACTATGGACGCCAGCCACAACACCTGACTATTTTTTTTGTTGTTGCTGTCATTGTTGTTTAGCTGGCCTGGGCTGAATTCGAACCCACGGGCTTTGGTGTATGTGACTGGAGCCATAACCACTGTGCTATGGGTGCTGAGCCGAAATGAAACAATTTAAAATGTATTAGATTATCAATAAGAGGTAATAAATAGGAGACAGTCTAAGGCAAGTCAAAGATCAACTAAATGGCCACTTAATGCCCTTCTAATTTTATTTTTTTCACATTTAATTCTTTATTCTATTTATAATTTCTCTGCATTTACCTTTATATTTGGAGTGTAAAGATTTCGTAAAGATGCCAATGCCATGGAAAGACCTTCTGTGCTATAGGAGATCCAGAGACCTTGGAGGATAGAAGATGATACACCAACTTTTTTACTCAAACCCTGAAAAAGAAATACACAGACAATTAAATTATTATTCCAGCTAAAAAAGTACTACGAGTGATTAAGTTAGTGACCCCGAGGCTTTTGGTACTAATGAATGAGAGTGGAGTCTCGCCATAACAATGTCTATGCCCAGCAAAGCCTAGCCACTCATGGGGACAAAGACTGGTCCTATAGGAACTTATATTTTCTCTATCTCAGCAGTCTTTAGCTACAGTTCTACTTCCTATGTTTCTTTCTTGCTACATCTGGATGTAATTTGTTTTTCCATTATCTTTTCTATTAGACTTCTTAAAAAGTTCCTTAAATTCAAATTACTAAAGCACACATGGTTGCAAAAATAATGCAATGTGATCACTGATTACCAATGCATTTCCTTCTTAAGCATTTGGGAAAACTATGTTTCCTAGCCTCCTTTATAGTTAGCTGGGCCATGGGACTAAACTTTGGTTAATAAAATTGAGGCAGTAGTAATGTGTCATGTCCACACTTGACCCCCAAATCTGCTACATGTTTCTCCACATTTTCTATTGTTCCTTTTGACTGAAGGTCAGATGAAGAAGATCAAATGGAGAATTCTGAGGTCTAAGGTGATTTTATAACTACTATATGGCAGAAGCCTGCCCAAAGATCTGCAGTGTACAGTGATGTAAGAGAAATGAATCTTTGTTAAGTTATTGAGATCTTGGCCGGGTGTGGTGGCTCATGCCTGTAATGCCTGTAATCCTAGCACTCTGGGATTACAGAGTGCTAATCTGTCATCCCAATAGAGCTGGAGATCTACTTTTAGATCTTTGAGGATTTTCCATACTTTTCTCTAAAAAGGCTGTATTAGTTTGCACTCCCACCAACAGTGTAGAAGTGTTCCCTTCTCTCCATATTTACCCCAGCATCTGGTGTTTTGGGACTTTGTGATGTGGGCTAATCTTGCTGGGGTTAGGTGATATCTTAGAGTGGTTCTGATCTGCATTTCTCTGATGATGAAAGATGATGAGCATTTTTTCATGTGTTTGTTGGCCATTTGTCTGTCATCCTCAGAAACGTTTCTGTTCAAATCTCTTGCCCACTTATAGAGAGGGTTGTTTGCACTTTTCTTAATGTTTAATTTGAGTTCTCTATAGATTTCAGTTATCAGGCCTTTGTCAGATTCATAACATGCAAAAATCTTCTCCCATTCTGAGGGCTGTTTGCTCTGTTTGTGGTACTCTTAGCTGTGCAAACTTTTTAGCTTGATCAAGTCCCAGTTATTTATTTTTGGTGTTGCAGCAATTGCTAGTGGGGGGGCTTCCTCATAAAGTTTTTTCCTAGGCCAATATCTTCAAGTGTTTTCCCCACATTCTCTTCTAGAATTTTTATTGTTTTGTGTCTTAAATTTAAATATTTTATCCAGCGAGAATCAACTTTTGTCAAAGGTAAGAGACATGGGTCCAGTTTCAGTCTTCTGCATGTGGATAACCAGTTCTCCAGCACCATTTGTTAAATAAGGATTCTTTTCCCCATGGCATGCTTTTGTTAGGCTTATCAAAGATTAAATGACGATATGTGGCTGGGTTCATCTCCAGATTCTCTGTCCTATCCCATAGATCTATGTCTCTATTTTTGTGCCACATTTAAAGTATTTCTGTAAACATACAAATACATAGATACACAGTATATATAAACAACTTTGTTTTATTAAAGGTGTTTTACTATGAAAAATTTTAAGCCTATTTTCAAAAGCAGAAAGGAATGGTATAACACACCTCCCATGCACCCATCACCTCACTTCAATTATTTTCGATTTGTGGCCAACTGTGTATTTTCTTTTCTTTTTTTTGAAACAGAGTCTCACTATGTCGCCCTCAGTAGTGTGCTGGGGCATCCTAGCTCATAGCAACCTCCAACTCTTGGGCTTAAGTGATTCTCTTGTCTTAGCCTCCCAAGTAGTTGGGACTACAGGCACCTGCCACAATGCCTGGCTGTTTTTTGGTTGTAGTTGTCATTGTTTGGCAGGCCTGGGCTGGATTCGAACCCGCCAATCTGGTGTATGTGGCTGGCACCCTAGCCACTGAACTACAGGCACTGAGCCCAGATCTAGAGAATCTGAACAAATATTTCTGCTAAGGAAAACTAAGAAAAGCTGTACAAAATTTTAAAACATCCTCCTTGAAGATATGAGAAGACAAACAAGTTAGAAAAGAATTATTGGGCTGAGACCTTGGATAGGACAGAGCCCAGGAGAGCAGTTTAAAGCTGCTTTCCCCTGGGTGAATTTGTCAATTCTGTACAGTCAAGTAGGAGTACTAATAGCTAGGGAGATAGGAGGTAGAATATAGCACCTAGCTCACCAAGGGAGAAGGGAGTGTCCTGGTAAACTTCCTTGCTTTGGTATGGGACTCTGCCTCCCACAAATGATTTAACTCTAGGAGGAAAGGTAAACAAGAAACAGGTAGCCTCTCACAGGGACTGCAACAGAGCTTTGAATTGGCTGACCACCTCCCCATATTGACCACTTCCTTAAGCTGACCTAATTTTCATAGGTTAGACATGCACTACATGTACTCGGTGGAAGACTGACCTCTATGTGCACATATATTGACCACCTTTGTAAGCTGTACCTTGACCACTTGGACTGTGACACATGATATTAATGTATCCTCTATAACTTGACCAACTGAGTCTACTCTACACCAAGGGGTAGATGGTATCGGTTTTGCCCCTTAGTTGTATTATTTTTTCCTTAGTAAAAGTTCTTTTTTTGATGTTTTATTATTACCACATGTTGGGTTAGGTCTAATGTCCTACTGTTTATCACATGTTGTGGAAGATTTTTTTTCTTTTTCTTTTTTTTTTGAGACAGGAGCCTCAAGCTGTCCCCCTGGGTAGAGTACCGTGGCATCTCAGCTCACAGCAACCTCCAACTCCTGGGCTCAAGCGAGTCTCCTGCCTCCGCCTCCCAAGTAGCTG